AAAGATGCATTTTTCAAATCTTCTATCGGAATTTGTAAATTTTACTCTTATAATTTTAGCATTATACTGGAAAGAAAGGATCTAAGCGTCCCAAAGTTATCTTGATGAATGATTTATTGTCGGTACATTTCAACGTATTGTCATTCGAATCAACACGATTGACAACACGCGAAATAGAATAATTACTGCGAGATAGATATCGTATATATGGCATTCTCGACTATTCGCACTAATTAAAATGTATCAATTGTGTGACAAATGAATTGTAAATCAATCCTGGAAACAGAAGCCTCTTTAATAATTTTTAAAGAACAAGTTTTATCTATATTATATGAATGTGATAAAAATAGCGTATGTATAATCAAAAAGCAACTAGAAATTAATGGATTTAAAAGTGGATTAAAAATGGATGATAATCCAGTAAACTTATTAATTGGACGTAAACTTATTAACTGGAATAATTATTATTTTCCAAACAATATATTCCAAACAAACAATCTGCTTCTGTGCTGTGCGACGAGTGCAAGAAGCAGCAATGATACGTCTTTTTTATTCGTTTATCGTGTTCGCATGGAAAGCACAATAATACACAATAATTTACTCCCATCTCTATAACATTTAGGCTGAAAACGATTAATAATTTAATTTGCATCAGCACATTATTCATTCTTGCTGTAACGTAGTATATACATATCATTTCTCAATATCATATACATATAGATAACATCAAAACATATTTACAAGATGCACAAAAAATATATAAAATAATGAATTTTTTGACGAGTTTGAAGTAAAATTTTCCTCAGTAAAAATTCATCAGAAGTTATAGCTTTGATTTACAGCTTTGATTTTTTTCAATATGAAATATTTCACTAATTAAATCTTCAATAATTAAACTTAACAACTTAACAATCTTAACAATCTTAATAATCTTAATAATAAATAAAAGAGTATATAAATTGGAAATTAATTGAATATCCATTTTATATCCATTCAGATTTCTCTCAAGAACTATTAAAATCTTGTAGTTCTTAATATTTATGTTGACTCATTAAAGTTTCAATTTAAATTTAAATATAGAGAGAATATTATCTGAAAAACTCTAGAGACATCACCCTATATTCTTTTTATATATTTTATTCTGCATCCTATATAGAATAGTGTGCTTCGTAATTTAACTCGCTTGCGAGTGAAATAGATCGCCATTGAAAGCGGATGAATGAAAACAGCGCAGTGGAAAAGCGGCGTGTTTTACATTGGTATTGTATTGCTGGAAAAGCGTGACATATCTGTGAAGCGTTAATGAATAATGAATCAGATATGTAGACGGAAGACACCTGTCCGCCCTGCGGATGACAGCGAAACAATTATTTAAATCTTATCGTCCTTGAATGACGTGGGGGATCGTAGCACTAAGCATTCAACTAAGCGAGACGATTCTGTACTTGTCCAAGCTTTTATTATTCGATCTTAAAATAACATAGCTCTGGCAGACAATTGCAACTATAAAAAAATTATAATCTTATAGTTCCTTATATTCTTAATTACAAATTAATTTCTTATATATAATAGATTTTGATTCTTCTGCTTCCATCATAAATGCAGATTTTTTTTTCTATTGTGATCACAGATGCATGATGTGTCAGCATCTGCGGAATAATTTAGTAAGTTAAACAGAAATTAGTATAAAAATGCTATATATTATATAGTTGATATATCATAAACTCATCGAGTCTTCATACTTTTTCGCACTTGCTGCCAGTACTATGGAAAGAATCATAAGTAGATAAGCGAAAAGGGCAAAACGATTTCTCTCTCTATGGAGATAATATAGCAAAAAAGTAGCTGCATAGTAAAATACATAATTCGCGGGGCATATAGAATTCTCTAATTAATTGATTGATTCGTTTCTACAAGCACGCCAAGAAAAAAGAGATCTTATTAGGAGCTGCCTGGAGTCTGATCTTACATTTCGGTTAGTCTTTTTTTTCGGTAATTCTTGATACCGCTTTCTCGTTAGTGTATGCTATCGTTTGTCCCATGATTCCGCCACCTATGGAATGCAATATTATGAACGAACCAGAACCGCTCAGAGCGACGAGATCGTTAGCACACATGTATCATGATTGGCACAGCGGAATATGCATGATCAGGTGAGAAGGGCAGCGTTTATCTCTAATTAAAACAGAGATCACACGGTATATCCATGAGTTCTCGGAACTTGCACATTCACATATATGAAAATCGTGCACTGATGTGTCTTCTGTAAATCTATCGCATCTCCATTCGTGCTGTCTGTGGTCTTTTCACACAAGCAACGATTCAGCCTGATCTACCACCAAGGAAATCGTTCATCTGACAAAATCATTTGATTTCTTTCTTTTAATATGCATATTAAAATCTAATCAAAATCCCATTGGCTTATTTGATTGCTATGTAAATTCTGATAAATATTTTTCTGTCGTGTTTTTCTTTCCAAATTATACATGAACAATAGTCTCTCGATTAAATCGAAATATTTTGGAGATTCACAACTTATAACTTCTTATTATAAAATAAGACTTTCCATTTTTTTCAACTCCTAAATTATATCTTTTAAGAAAAGACTGTAATTTTAATATTTATTAAAAAAATTACATACATTTTTAATGGATATTCTAAAATTCCATTAATTATATCATAAATATATATGTACACATCATTAATTAAATTTTTATTATTATATATTTAATTATGTTAATGAAACTAAATAAAATAATTAATTATATCACGATGAATCATTAGAATAAATTAAAAACTTATTCCATATTCAAATAATTATTTACATCAAAGATATTTTTATTCAATTGAAAAAGGATATTAATTATTCATTGAAAACATGTGTCTTCCAATCACATATAAGTTCTGAACTCAACTCAAATTAGGATTAAGATCTTTCCTTAAGTCAGAATCCACAATTGAGAGACATATAAAACATGAAGTAGTCTAGGTGGTGGATCTAGCATTTTGTGACATAAAACACTCATCTAACAAGTTTCAAGCGGAACGTGAGACGGCGGTTTACCTTCGTCGCTAAAGTGAGACCGGTTCGTTTCGAGAAGGATTACGAAAACGACTCTATTTCCCGGGCGTATCTAGCGAGCGGTCATAGAGCGGATTAACCACAGATCCTGGACATTGTGTACTAGCCGATAGGCAAACAATGAGTTCGAGCGTAGGTATGGCGACAACAGCTTTTCGCCGAGTGAGAGATAGAGACAGAGAAGTAATATTTAACTACGCTGAGACAATGCGACATATCCTCATAGCAGGTACCTGCAATCAAGAGATTGGTCAGCGAAATTCGATCGGTGGGTCTCCACTTTACTGACTAGACAGCATAGGGACGTGGACGGTGCAGCGCGCTTTAATGGTAAAAAGATCCGATAGGAGATAAGGGGAGAACGAAGCAGTGTGGATTGATTACAAAACGTTGATCTGACATGATAATCGCGATAATCGCGTCAGTTTTCACAATCGAATGTTCTATAATTCAATTATTCCTCTTCCTCGTTCAACATCCTTTCTCATACATGACAGCTACAATCATGCTGTTTAAATGTCTATACAGACATCGTCATAATAGATGTAAGATATGTATATCTTAATGTAAGTCGTTGCCAATTTCTGCGATTGTTACAAGCACACTTTCTGTGAAAAGATAATACAATCCTGTATATAATCTTTTTACCAATAAACGATCACGCTGCAGAATCTACGACAAAGATTTGGGGAAAAGCGGAGGGCATAGGCGCCGACGCATACCCAAATTGGATCAAATATTTTGTTAAATAATTCAAGTTAATTGAGTGAAATTCAATAGTCTTAAAACAGCCCGATTCTCCAGAATGAAGAAATAATGGTTGGATGAAGGAGTTGTATTGCAATTTTCCTATAAAAATTGCAACGAGGAGGCTTTTCAAAGACACTAACATTGTGGAGCAAGCAAGTTAAACTAAATAAAAGTATTCAATTGGCTGATATAAACTGGAGAAGATTATCGCACGCCATCGGCGCCTATGACGATGAGTAAGCAGTAGATGGTTATTAGATAGTTACCAATGTGAATAAGTAAATTGTACGTAGATTATAGGCGTGTGTTAGATGTGAGTAAGGTAGGTTTTCCGCTTTAAGTAGACGCTGTTGTGCGCCGGGGAGTTCACCGCTGTGTCGTTACTGGAACATAGCCGGTGCTCGTTTTCACACACGCAAAGGACACACACACACACACACACACTTTGCCATTAGCCAAACAGCTATGGCAATCCCACGCGCGAAAGTCGCACAGGGTGTCCTTTCTCAACCCTTTCTTGCCTGACCGCAATAAAGATACATAGAAAGCAATCTGTGTCAAATTAGCGGGGAAAATGTCAAAATTTATTCTTTTTTTTTTCGTTTTTATCATATCTGTTATCATATTGAATACTTTAATTTTAATATAATCGCAGCAACGATGTACATGTTTGTTGTGCATTGATCTTCCAAAATGCATATCTTCTGGAAGAAAGTTGAAAAGTTCATCAGATCAGCTTCTTGAATTTTCATGACCGATTATCATTATTGAACCAATTCAAATTAGCAATTAATTTAATGATTGTTTCTGTAGCAAAAGAAATAAAACAAAATAATTGTGTTTGAAAAACAATTTCAAGCAATTGGGCAACAGAGGGTTGAAAGGATAAACTCGCTCCCGCAAAGATGCTGAGACTGCATCTTTCCCTTGTAATTTCGAAAGTCAGTTGCATCAATGTTAACGAATAATTCTTCGTTTTTGAAGATCAATAGAATTTTTTCCCCCTCTCTACTTCTAATTATAGTTGTAGCTATTTTATGTAAAAAAAAATGAATTGAATTATTATTTATTATAAACTGATATTTTTAACAGAATATCCGACAGAGACATTACAGAAAAGCTTTCTGATATCTACATTACTGTGAAGAAAAAAAATTATAATAAAAAATTAAGTGTCGTCAGAATAAGCAGAAGTGATTGGTAATCTTAATCGGGAGTTTAACAGCCACAATCACAGGTGCAATTGATTCCGGAACAATCATTGCAGTAAATACATAACTACAACGTTTTCAGCGTAACGAATGACAACAGAATCTGACAAAAAAGATATTTAATCCTTGCGAAGCGTGGGAAAATCATTTGTTACAATATTGCTGGAATGTATCATTAGAAAAACTTACCTTCGTCGTCGCAGAGATGCATTCTGTCCTGGTAAGACAAACTGACCTCTGGGAATCACCATGCGCGCGTTGCCCTGAGCAGGGCGCGAACCTCCGTGCGCCTGCAGTGTGCTCAAATGAGCGGCATATCCATCGTACAGTATTGTCGCCATAGCTTGATGCTTCTTGGATACTTTGCCGATGATGAAGATCTGGCTCGGTTTGAGACTTACCGCCATGTACACGTTAATATCTTTCTCGCTGCCATACGCCTGATGGATTATCATACCGTGCTCCTACATCCAATTGATCCATTATTAATTCAGTGTCAAAATTGTATCGTGTAGATTAAAGAAATATGGAACAAATTGATCATAATTTAACTTATATTCGTTCCAAGATGTAAAAAAAGAAAATTAGTATACTTTCTTAATTTTAAATTTAATAAATTGATAACGGATATACTTGTAACGGTACATTATAGAATATATTTTTATCGGTTGTCAATATCTATCTGCATAACAATAAATCAGTTCCCTATCGTTACAAATTTATTTTTAAAAAATTAAATTAAATTCAATAATAATTCATTTGTAGATTTATTTATTAATTAGAAAATAAAGATATTCACTGTCTGAGAAAATTGATCCCTCATGAATATTTAATTGATTTAGCTAGTATCTATTATTAGTTATATATGCTAACTATACATAATCCTAGCAAGCTTCGCACAAACCTTCACAAGCTTATTCAAATAGGCGGCTTTGTGGGCGAGCGGATCCCTGGACAGGCCGTCGGCGAATGAAACGAGACCGTGAGGAAAATTATGCTGCGACAGCCAGGAAACTACTGTCTGTTGCTGCATATCGGGTCTCGCGGTAATATAAATTATGAGGTAACCCAGTTCCTGCCAATGTCTACAAGAAATAATGGAGAGCTTTATTTAATAATGTTCTTTTTAAAAAAGTTATCTTTTTAAAAAAGAAAAATATAAATTTGTCAAAATATATATTTTTATAGTTGATTTATAGTTGATTTATAGATACAACGATATGACATCTTTTTGTTTAAATAAGTCAATTTATTGTTATTACAAAATATTGAAATAAAAGATATTACAAAAAATACTTATAAAATTATTTCTTAATGTTGTATAGAAATCAAGTTGAATAATAATAAAGATTTAATCATCAACTACAAGCACTTTATATATACATTCAGTAAAAAAGCTTTGTTATAAAAATTTTTTTTTAATATTTTTGCATTTCACAAAAATAAAATGATAAACGCAATTCGCAGAATTCGTCTTGATTTATTTTTTATGATGCATTACCTCACAACATCGACGGCACCAGCCCAGACTTTCGGATCTTTACCACTCACAGACTTACTGGCGGCAAAAGAACCATCTATGCTAAAAACCACACATTCAGTTCTCGGCGGTATCACAGCCACGAAAAAATCTACAGATGTATGATCTCCTCTAAAACGTAAACACGCATTCGGATTAAAAAAGTTCAATTTCTCTCGCTAAATTAAAGAGCTAATTTATATCAATTACATCTTTTAATTGTTTTTCATTGATTCATTCTAATTTTCATTCCCAGATAGCCAAGTTTGTAGAAAGCAGATTTTTTAAATGTCTGCTACACGCTATGCCAACAAAATGACAACAGAATTAGATGTACATAATACTGTTGACTGTTAGAAAAAAATGTAAAGAATCTGCAAACGTCAGATAATGTCGGCAGGATCTGTTCAGTTTCTGCCAACAATTTGCTTTCACATTATGTCGACAGGCGACAGTTAACAGAACACAAGCCTAATGCCGACGCAGTTGATGACACACTGCCGTCATTTTCTGTTTGAACCTGCTGACAGTCTGTTAGAAAACTGCAGATATTTGGCTATCTAAGTGTAATGTGAAATATTAATTTCAATCTTCCTCGACTAGTGTATCGATTATAATTTATAATTATTGATTACAACTTTAAGCCATGAATTACAATTTATATTAATATCTATTTTAAAGAAAAATACATTACCTTACAATCATCTTTATTGGATAAAGCCCGTAACCTAGCATTTTGTCATCTGGTATTTTGTAAATTATTCTACCATTCTTATCAGTTACCTCGGTAGAAAGGTATGTCCACTCGCCTGCCGGTGCGTTTTTCATAATATGGATATCAACTTTCTCACCTGCGACGTAATGATAAATATAATATTTTCTGTTTACATTTAATGTCACATTTTCAACGATTGAACATTTCAACATAAAATTAATATTAATAATAAATTTTAAAATTATTATTTATTATTATTATGATAAATTTATAAGTAAGTTATAAATTAAACACTAGAATTTGATACTGAAAGATTTACAAAGATTAGTTTTAGACAATTTTTTAAAATTTTATACCTGTTAAAGTTATCATATCAATAGGACTGTACATAAACCTAGCGATTAATATTTGTGGTACACCTTCCCTCACGATGACATCATTCGCTCTGTGATTGGCAGCAACATTCTGAAATATGTCAATGTAAGCAATACAACTAAAGAATTTTAAAATAATTAAAAGATTAAAAATTAAATTTAAATTAATAAAAGAATAAACCTTAATTTTAACGGAGGTACGTTTTTTATTCCATTTTTCTCTGGGTTGACCTGGACGGAAGCAAGTGAGATCTTTTTCCTCGTTGCCAAGCAATGGTGCATCGACTCTGCCCAATTGCCTCAAAATAAACGCGATCACATCCGGAGACTCCCAATAACTAGCGTGGAAGATATGCGGCAAGGCATTCGTAGGAAAATTAGTGAGACCTTCTGGACAATAGAGGGCATAATCTAGTCTTTTGGTACCCCACCACTTTTGCATCACTGAAATGAGATAATAAACGTGTCAGATTATTTCAATATACTTAATATTATACACAATAATTCACTTTTTAAATAAAAAAAATTGCTTACGTAGAATAACTATCACAAATTTAATCTTGGAATTGATTTTGAGGTTCTAGATAAGTCTTTGAATCGTAGATACAGCAAACAATATAATAAATAATTTCTACTTACGGGCAGACACTGCCTGTAAAGGAACATTATCGATAATGCCTGACATTGTACTTTGAAGTGATATATCAGATAATCTTCTTAAATGCGACATTTGAAAATTGGGAACGTTCAAGCCATCAGCGTACAGCTGCGGGTTAGTCTGGATAGTCTCCACTAAAATTAAATTTATAATTGCGTTAAAATTTTTTTCCTAATTTTGCCACAAATCTTGAAAAATGTAACTTCCATTCCTATATTTGCATAATTCTATATTTACAATCTTAATATACTTACGCAAGTGATAAGGTTGGCCGTTGCCGAGCGGATACTTTCCATATTCAGCAATATTAACCGGCGCAATTAAGGAAAATCTCGCTGAGATTAAGGGTTCTAATCTCGCAGCCACAGGTTCTGTAGGATGAAATAGATTGTATACTTGATTGACTAACGGTCTGGGTATGAAACTATTTCTGTCGCTCGATGCGGTGATCTTTCTGTAAGCGAGGACTAATGCAAGCGGACTACCGAACATAAAAAAGTCACCCACTTCGAAGTCCAACTTGTTGTCACTGCAAATGACATGTTAATAAAAATCAATTAAGATTTTCATAATTATGAGTCAATTCTATTGACATACAATGTATTATATCTAATAATTAAATTGACAAGGGATCGTGCTGAACTAGTTTTCTTTTTTGCCTTTTTTTCTTAGCTATATTTATCGAGAGATTATTAATATAATTTTTGTGCTCACTTCGTGCCAGAAGACCTTCTTCGAGGAGATGGCGCAGACAGATGCTTGCCATCTTCGTTTCCACTATTGTCATTGCCCTGCTGACCGGTACCCTCCAGAATGCTGTTTTCGCTGCTGTGTCTCGAGTGCTGTGTCGCTTTGCACAGAGCATCATAGGTCAAGATCGATCCTACTGAGTCGCTCACAAAGCATATCTGTCCGCTGAAACCTTTACCCTCGTCGCTCTTAATGAAATCGTGGTATACTTGGTTGGCACTCATCACCACACGCGATACTGTATCCTGATATTCAGAACTCGAGCTTGCTAGAAGCGGAATCGCGCCAATCGGAATGGTATCGTGCGTCACTTGCGGAGCGTCCATGCACGAAGGCGACATGTCAAAGCTGTATGGACTCAGGCTACGCAACGAAATTATAAAATTATACTAACATCCCAAATTATACTAACATCACAAATGATTTAAATGCAAAAGATAAATGCAAATGATATTACCTTGACAAAATGCCCAAGCCTTCAGTGCAAATGGAAGGACAGGCAACGAATTTAATGGATACGTGGCCAACCATGCTAGGATAATGCTGTCTCATAATGGATTCAAAAGCTCCGCGGAATGTCGTTATATCTGATTTTTTTGCCGTTAAATCGACATTCGCATCTGAAACACAAAAATAATTCTGAATCAATATATGTTATATATATATATCGTAATCTTCTTGATTAATTTTTTTCACATAAATAAAATAAAGAAATATATGGAAAATAAAAATTCCACAACTAAACAGTCACATAGTAAAGAAGCTAATATAATTATACATAAAATAAAAATCTATAATTTTCATAAATTAAGAAAAATTAATAGTTTGTAAATTATACAAAAAAAAAACAAAAGAGTTCGTACTTACCTAAAACACTGCCGCCGTGTATCACAATAATTAAAACAGTAATTTTGCACGGTTGATGTGTAGGAGAATGTTGAGGAGATGCTGGACATGACACATCGATGCTGGCCGACGTGCTGATCTGCAATCTCTTACTGCTTCGTTCGTTAGTGATACGTTGCAGATAAGAAGGTGAAAATATTGTATCCTCTAGAAAAGAAAAAGCATCCCCATTGTTATTCTCCGCGGTAAAAGAACGAAGAAAAATTTAATAATTTAAATTTGTTCTACGTTTTACCATATATTTCGAAAATGAAAATAATTACTTAGATGATAAATAATACGACACAAGCTTAATAATATTTATTACATTTATGCTATAAGGATATTTTTTTAAATACGTATTATTAACCTTGCTCGTTTGTCGCAGATGGTGTCCGCACGCTCGTATCCTCCCCTTCTGCTAGAAGATCCAAAGAACTCCATTTAGCTAATGAAGAGCTATCTTCAAAGTCCTCTGTGTAATCAGAAACGTTAACACTGCTTATGCAATGTGCCTTTTTCCAAGATTAATCATATATGTTTTGAAACAGGACTTGCAATAATATATGAATCAAAAGATAAAATATAAAATATAATGTTTCAAAGAATATGATCTCATAAACAACAACAATTTTAACAATATTTGCCTAATAATTTACGATATAAATAAAAATTTAATTGCAATTATATAGATTATTCAAATTCTAGATCATATTGAAATCGTTTCGCATATATTACTTCATCTAATACAATATCTATGTGAAAATCTATCTAACGTAAGCAAAACGAATTAATTTTCGTTTAACACGAAAATGTGTTGTAACACTTAATCTGTTAAATCTCTTTTCTACGTATAGCCATGCTGCTGCATGCCGCATGTGAGCTTTTCACGGAATTTCATGCTCGAGTCTAATCTTAGTCGCATGTCACGCTAAAAGATGCAAATATTGTATGTGTCAAACAGCTCGATATATCGTATTGTCTACAGCATCTACGCGTATTTTAAGGCCATTCTTTAGTTTTATAGAAATGACATATGTGTGACAGTTCTCTTTCTTTTTCTTTCTTTTCCTTCCTTTTCTTCCTTTTTCCTTCATAACTTATCTCGCTTATTACTTAATCACTCTACGTGTCCTACCTTTGCGTATAACAGGTATAATGAACCCAGCTGCAGTATGGGGGTGCGACATAAAAAACAAAGAGGATACACATAAAAACGCAGTACATGCTGATGTTGTTTCTACTTGAGTTATCAATGCATTATTGCAAGACACACTTCTTTCGCATGATTCATAAGAATTAACAAAGAACATCCTTATAAGACTTATCAGTATCAATATCATCAGATTACAGAAAATGTTCTCTTTATCCCAAGAGAAATTATACGTATACATAATTATACTATACATATCTTAAATACAGAATGTCAGATATCTTTAAATAACATAACGTCTGAAGAATTCGCAATATTTCCTGGAAAATTTTCTCAACTGTTAATTATTATTTATTCTATGTTAATTAATTTGACATTAATAACTAATTGATATTCAATAGCTTTTTAAATTCTTTAAAATATTCCGTTCATTTTAAATAATTTTTTTTTTCTTAAACTAATCAGATTCTACATTTATAATGTCATCTTATTGTTAAATCTTTTATTGATTTATTAAGATTCATTATGTATACATTATGTGTGGAAAGCAGCGTGTCACAGAATTATCATCTTGCTATTATTTATTATGAGTCGTGTTAATGCGTTTTTTTTCTAGATTATTACAGACATGCTATACATACGCATGCGTCGTAATAGTCTTACCCTGACAATCGAAGAATTCGTCGTCGCTGCCGGATTCGGACTCCCTGACGATGCTTTCCAGCCTCCAATTTGCGAGCTGGATGTCAAAGTTCTTATTCGTATTTGGCGAATGCAAGGGCATGTTGTTCTTTGTCCACTTCTTCTTTTCACCGGCCGCATTTCTACAACGCAGTTCACTTTTAAGTCAATTAATTTGTTAATATATTATCGATCGAAAACGTATTAGCTCGTCTTTTGTTATCAAACATTACTGACTGGTGACAAGTTCTCTCATTTGTATATTCAGAATTTAATTATAATTATATTGTTAGAACTTAAAATTGATCATTTATAGTATTGATCATTATATGATCATTATAGTATTTATGATTGTATTTATCCTTTACTTTTTATTGTAATTTGTTTTTTCCAAGTCTTTGATACATTACAAATTAAATTTTATATGTTTGTACGAAAAATAATCAGTCACAGATCATTAATTTCTGCAAAATCCAGTCAATAATGTCTTAATTCAATCATATGTTAAAAATGGAATCTAATAAATCGTATCTGCATTAATAATATTATTATTATCATATTATTCTGTTATCTTCTAGAATTTTATCCAGTTCCTTATTTAGTTCTTTATGATAGTTAGTTTCAGTCAAAATTACAAATTACTAACGTTACAATTATAGACACAATTATTTGCTATTATCTTATCATTTTAAGAGAATAAATAGCGGTATTCATAGGTTCTTATTTCCAGACCATTTTATTTTTTAAGATGTTAATACGACTCTGTAATTGGTTATGACATCTTACAATTAAAACTTATGAAACAGTCCTAAATATAAACAATGAACATCGACCAATGAATATTACCTGGTATACATAATGATGATAAGCAAATTCTATCATAAATTACATACCTTAGTCAATAGATACAAAAATATTAAATAAGTACGTAGAATAATGTTTTCATAGTTATACAAAATCATTTTCTTGAAAAGCTATCATATATAATAAATAATCAAATGAGAAATTTGTTTTGCATCTTTAATTCGTTGTTTGTTTCAGGAAAAATTATCTTTTCACTAATAATAATTGTACGATTTAGCGAAAGTCAATTAAATCTTTTTGAAAATAAAATCTTTTGTGTGATAGAAGGTATAAATTCATCGGCATAACTGTCGAAATTCTGCGTGAAGCAAATAGAGTGAAATAATCTTACTTGATCTCATCCAAATCGATCGGCGAATCTTCGGGACTAATCTCACCCTCGGAACTGGCCGCTGTATTGATAATGGGAATGTCGGATGGCTTCCTGACGGACGGCGGACTTTGCACCTCTTCGTTCTTCTCGATGCTACCCAGGGTGGCCGCCAATGTCTTGGCTACTGCCGACTCCTCCGACGTCATCGTTGCGTTCGCCGCTGTCGTCGTTGTGATCGACATGGTTGTCGTCGTTGTCGCCGTCGAGCTCACTTTCCGAGTCTCGCCGTCCTCGAGCTCATCCTCTGAGTCACCGAGACCCATCTTCCGTTGCAGCGCCAATTGCGTCTGTCGCTCGATCTCCCTGATATCTTCCATCGTCAGACCATTCCACTCGTCCTGCCAAGCCCAGGCCTGCCTGTGCGCCCGCACCATTGTCTTCCGCAGAGCTGGAATCGACCTTAATACGTCTCACGCACGGCCGACCGGGTGCACCGGTTAAAATTAACCCTTTCGATCACGACCTCTTGTATGTTACAGAAAGGAAAAAGCTATTCCAGTATCGGCAAATGGCAATGCCCGATATCGCGAATATAAAAATAATAGCACAAATTGATAATGAAATAAATTATAATTCTGTTAACTCGAAACGAGATAATAAGTGTTTATAGAGAAATAAAAATCTATTTTTATTTCTCGGATGCTTCGACTTTGATCAGTAAGTAAATATAAACTAAATTATCTAAATTAAAGTAATAAGAGTAAGATAATAGATTTGATAATAGATTATTCCAATACATTTGAATTAACTTTTTCTTTAGGAATACTTAAATATAGCAATTTGCGATTAATTTTTAATTTAAAGTAATATAAATTAAAAGATTTTTAAACAATGATATTCATGATCGAAAGAGTTAACCCTTTAGCTGCCGGGCTCTTTGCATAAAAATTGATATCACATTAAATTTGACGAAATCAAATCAAAGTGTCATTATTCATAGAAAAGCGAAAAATTTATAAATACATAAATTAAAATGTAGAATGCTTCAGAGTGCAAATTTCTTTCAGTAGTTATTTTTTTTTAGTAAATAGTTACTTTGTACTCTAGCTTTTATAACTGTTTGCTTCCTTAAATTAATTTAACTTTAAATACCATTCTATACAAATTCAAAATGTTTCTACACTCGCACAATGTTGAAGAAATTCTTTTTGACTTGTTAATTCCGACAAAATGCACAACTTCTTACAAAGGCATTCGATGTACCGAACGTGTGAATTCTTCGCGTTGAAGGAGAAACATATACTTAATTGGCAAGGTTGAAGTTTTTCCAATTTTGTTCTATGTTACATTTTCAGTTCTATGTTACAAAGAAAAAAGAGCATGCGATATCTTTCAGATCTCAGAATTGTCAGAAAGACCAATCTCATTTCTAAGAAATAATCTTCCCAAATCTGACTCGATGAAGAAGAAACGATTCCGCTCCAGATAAAAATGTCAAAATACCCAGCATCCAAAGGGTAAGATAGGGCAAAGAGGTGAGCACGTAACGGTACTAACCTACGTCATGTATGAACTTTTCTAATTTCGTTTGCATGCCCCAATAATGGAACTCTACTCGGCATAGCTTGTACGCGCACATTAGTGACTTTCCCGATGGCGTTGGCTGTTGCTTTCCCTAGCGAGAGAATCGCTAATGTATCAACGGTGAAACTACTTCAGCGGATAGGTGTAAAAATATTTAAAAAAAAAATAGAAAAAGAATGAGAAAAATGAAAGATGTATACTTCTACATCGGCCCAATAATCTTCCAGCCATGTATCCTCCAGCGGGCCCCTTCCGGTTTTTTCTGACATGTACAGCTTGGGGTCCTCCTCCTTCACATAGTCGGCCCCATACGGCTGATCCTTGACAATGTCGATTATGTCTTGGGAATAGATTATCGCGGAGTCAATCGAAGTAAATGTGACATCGTGTTATTTCTTAATTATTAAAGTCAACAATCATTTATTGCCTTATTAGAGCAATGGTAAAAAAAATCTTCTTAATACTCGGAAAATTTAATTAAAACATTTCATGCCGCGTTTAGTTTTATTTCTGTTTATCATAATTATTTTATTTCTATTTATGTTTATCATAATTAAATAATATCAATAATATGTATTTTATAAAACAGTACAAAAATTATTATTATAAAGAAAAAAGCTTAAAATACCAATATTGCATCATATATCGTAATTACCCACGCACGATACAAAAATTCTTTTATAATTTCGTTTCTTTTATAGCCAAAAGGTCAAATAGCGTGAATGGAAAACCCGATGACCCACGCAGCATGGAACGTGTTAACTGATCCGAATTCAAACAAACAGTAACAAATGATGAGCATTCATCTATAGTAATACACAAAATCGTACACAAATTACGAATATAGTTTCGAGAAATCTATTTGAAAAATATTGCGAAATTCGTCCCATTGTTACGACGAACATTTTTTTTAACAAAATTCACGTTATTTTTGTTTTTAGATTCAATCAGAATTCTTAACATCGCTGTTAAATGGCACATCATTCCGCGTCATTTCTAATCTAGTCTAATCTCCTCTTTACCCACGATCCTGTTCCTGTAATCACTGCCGGTGAGATTGAAAACATTTTCCTGGTGGCCGTCATCTGGAAAGTAGTAAGTTTCGATCTCGACGGAGAACTTTCCCACGAACGGGCATGTGTAGCGGGTCTTGGTGTATGGATAGGCGTTCCATGCTTCCTCCTTGGCGATCAATGCCGACTTGGGCAAGAGACTTTTGAACCAGCCCGGCAGATGACTGCCCACGTGATAGATTTTGTGTGTGTACTGCCCGTTACCGCCTGGTCCATTGCTGTATGGCTCATTCTCGATTATCTCTACGCCGCTACCGGCACCCTTGCTCTCCTCCCGAGATTTTTTCTGCACGAGTTACACAGAGCGAACGGTTATTGATTTAAAGAGCATTCATCGTAGACCATAACATCTTTATCCTTATCTTTTATCGATGAAAGAACAACCGCTTTTGAACAGGCATATTCGCAGTATAGGACGCAAATAGAACAAAAAAGAAAGAAAGAAAAAGGATAAGATAGACGCACATGTAAAATAGATAATTACAAAAAACAAAAAAATGTAATGTAACGTCAACGATATCGGATAGCGAGCATTTCAATATAATAATGCGTTTTATGAGAGAAATTAATTCACATTACAATCAGTATTGACCAGTAATATACAATTCATTACGGCTAATATGCATTAATAATAATTGACAACTAATATTCGATATGAGTTTGCATCATGAAATCAAACATACACAAATAAACTCAGCAGAAAATAGACAAGTCAGAATAAATCAAACTTCTAAAAACAGAAATCAGGGATTTACGGTTCCATCTAAAATAAACTCTCTGTAATTCACGTCTAGTTTTCGTATAAAGTAAATGTTTATAGATTCGTATAAAGCGTGCGAAATATAAATCTCAATTAATGATAAATCGGAATTAAATCGCGCTGCTCCTTTCTTGCGAAACATGCACACAGAAAAACATCATTCTATTGTTAAGATGAATAATTATCTACTTAATTTACCTTTCTTTTAACGATTATCTTTAACAAAGAATATTTTCTTGATAATAATCTCTTAAAATATAATTATTATTAATTTTAAAAACTTATTAACATACAACTCAAAAGAATTTTTTTTAAGAATATTATAAAATTGATTGAAAAAGTGATTTTATATAATAAGCAAATCAAATTTGTTTTAATTTAATAATCTCGACCAAAGTATTAAACCCAAGGATTTAGAATATATTTTAAATAACTTTCCTGATGCTCGTGATGAACTTACGATACGGTTCATAGATATATAAAGTTTTTGAAACAAGTAATCATCACTCGCACACAGTTTACTGTGTGTGTCGATGCGACACTGGCTAATTGCGATAATTACCGCTATCATGTACAGCTGAGCGATTCGATACTCCTCTACCGTGAGAGGCAACGGTATGCGATACTCCTTGATCAACATTTTGTCGGAGCCTGTCCTGTATCACCCGTGCATCTTCGCAAAGTGCATCTTCTCTTCAGATATACTGGACGCCGCCACGTTCGACATTTTCACGATATCTCGAGAGGTTTTTTGCGCCGAAGATCACGAATGATGTCTCCATTTTGCGTCGTCAAGTATAATCTTCTGCAATGGAAGAAAGAAGATACCTTCATATCGCGTTACATCGGTCTGAATTTAAAGTAGAGTGCTACGATTGCTTCGGATAGTATTCGAGAATCCTCCGATTTCATGCGCTCATATCACATAATAACGATCTTGATGCAATCTTCAGGATAGTAGAACCCACTTGGAAGAAAGCACCGACGGAAAGTAAATCAGTAAAGGGAAAAATAAAAAGCAAATACGAAAGAAAATAATTTCTTTTTCAAGGAAATTACGCGGTCTACGAGTTGCCTTGATACATCATTTAAATGCCAACGTTTCATGAACATTGCAGTGAAACTTCATCAGAGCGAGAAGCAACCTGATATTTCTCCCACTGATGAAGTAAACTGTAATGTTCATTGGCACTCGATGATATAGATATTTAAGATATTACGGAGATAACCCATAAATTTCCTTGAAAAAAAGTATTCAAAAGTATTATCAATAATTTATCTTCTATCAATAATTTATCTTCTATTATCTATACCGAGAAAAATGATTAGTTGGATTAATTGAAATTCTGATTGAAAATAGATGAATCAGAATTTCCTAATTAAATCTTACAATATATAATAGAATATTAATTATAAGATAATCCAGAATTCTGATTGATATAATCAAAATTTTCCATTTCGTCCATTTTCAATCAAACATTTTTCTCAGTGTATTCTATATTCTTACGAATTTTATTATTGTATTTATTATTGTAGAATTGTCATGAAGTACGACAAGCGTCGTACTTCATGACAATTCTACAATAATATCGACATATTGATAAATACTGCCGATGAAACAATCGTGTAACAAAAGTGTGTTCTTTCAACTGGGTTGCGTAATTAAAAGATAATTTAGAATTGAGAATGAGGCATGCGACTTTAATTACAACTCGTTTATTTAAAAAAATATATAAAAAATGAAGAAAATTAATAGGTACCGAGAACTATTATTATATCCAAGTTATGCGCTGCTGCTTTCTTTTGATTAATTAAGTTCTTTGATAGCTCGTCTTGATTGCAGGATTCGCGTTGTGGTGAACATTAACCACGTCGATCGTATCACAAGCGATATGTAAATATCGCATCCTTTTTGACGCAAATGTTTACTGTACCGGAAATATTCGTAGTTCCGGTGCTTAATCATAGTTAAAAGTAGCCATTAATAATCAACGCGGACAATATAAATCCATGTCTAAAATATAAAAGGTTTAATTTAAAAGTTTTATTTAAGCTTGCGTAACTGGGTTTTTATCAATGCGTTTAGTAAACAATACCTATTTATGCAAATATATTATACAGGTGAATATGGCCTTGGTACATAAATGATTTGCCAAACGAAATAATAATTGCGTGCAGCATTGAATAATGAATTAATGTTCACACATATTTCCAATGCAAATCAAGAATTGTTAATTACATTGTCAACAGTCATATAAGTTATCATATAATTTCAATATTTTTATTTTATTTCCTTCATTTAAAATTATATATCATATTCTGAGGCAAGTGTTTCTTAAAAATATTACTGCATATCTCAAGTACATTATTATTTGTACAAAATTTGAACAAAAAGACATTTCGTTATAATTTAATACTTCAAAGATATCACATTTTAATTCGTTCTCCATCATCTATCATTATTCCTAATTTTGTGTGAAAAATATTGCTTTATGAAGATCGTCAATACCGTTGATTTTCAGAATAATTCACGATAGGAAGCAACTGCGTTCTCGCATCCAGACAGAAGCAACAAAACGGTACGCAAAATGTTTATTTATATGCGAGTCAGCCCCTGCGTGCGAAATTAGCAGCGGAAATTACGCGGTACAGATCGACTCGCTACAAAATTCGTATTCATGAAACTACAAGCGTTCCTGTAAACACATACCCACACACACACACACACACACACAAACACGTATAAGATACATCCACCCACAAAATTGCAAATTTTAATCGCCGTTCTGCGAATTCCGTGTAAATGCAAGCTTACTCTGTGCGAGCGGTAGATGTCGATGATAACGTCGGACATCAACGCACGGCGCAGTTTCCGGAGTTACTTTCGGGTTTTTACATCTTTCCCGTGTCCCGATTAAAGTTCGCTTGGCGGAAGTGAGATACACGGAATCGGGACACGAGAATATGTGTGTTACTCCGTCACTCCAATTCGGAGAAATTTACGATTACGTTCACTGCGAACGGTAATTCCTTTAATCGCTAAATTCATTCGTTGCTTCACTCGAAGCGCGAAAAATTGCAAAGGGAGTTCTTCAATTTGTGTAGCTTCTGCACGCGAATTTCAGTGAATGAATTTGATTTTTTTTACTTTTAAAACAGTACTTTAAAAACAGTTTTCTATTAAATCATTTTAATTGTAGATAAAAAAATAATTTAATAAAAAATAACTTACGTATATAGTACATATTATATATAACATTTTCAGAAATAAAACGCTAAAATTATTATTAATCAAAATAAAATTGTTAATTTAATAAAAAATAAAGTTTAAGTGACAATAAATGAAATGTGAAGCAGATTATTGTAGTTAATAATAAATTACGAGGAGAAAGACTTAAAAAAAATCTTAGTAAATATAATCTCTTCAGATATAAATTATTTTTACAACAATAAATTAATGTACATTATCGTATTATGTTTATTACGATCCTTTTTCAAAATTGTAAAGAGTATAGCCTTACTTCTCACAGAAGTAACAGTATCGCGACGATGTAAACTCAAGAATTGTTTTAAATCTCAACATCAAAGAAAACAAAGAAATATACATAAAACTCATACCTACGCGTTGCAATCAATTAACAAACATTCATGCATTTACTTTTATACTGTACGAGTTCATGTCAATTCGATTAAGAGGAAGGAACGTGAGCTTTTGAGAGCACAAAAAAGGCGGGCGGCCTAAATTACCGATAAAAGAGTTAAACAATGACGTCAAATGATGCGAATGATGTCACAGCGGGAATGGCGAGGGACTGGGACGATTGAAGGGTACTAAGGGGGTGGCTCGACGACGATGGGACTAAGTGACAGCAAAAGACACATATATAAATACACAACACGAGAACACGGCGACGCGTCGCCACCGACTGAACTGACGGCGGAAGCGGAGGAAGGCTGCTCGATTGGCGGCGCGATCGCACGCGCGACGCGCGACTCGTCGAACCCGCGAAATCGTTGCCGACCAATCGGAGCTCGCACCTCGCGACCCGACGAGCCCGCGGGCAGGGCCGTAAATTAAACGGCGCCAATGAACAAACTTGTTACTTTACAACAAAGACTCGCACGCGTACACCGTCGTAGTTTACGCACGTCACATGGTTGAAGAGATTTACATATTGGTGGTACATCTGGGCGGCTATCTCTTTTTTCCCTCAATTATCAAAAGATTTAAAAGACTCGTTTATGTTTACTATCGTTGTTGCGTGTAAGATACGTACTTTTAAATTTTACATTTGCATACTTTTACATTTTACACGATGTATCACAAATGCACTTTCATATCATATATAACGTATGATATAAAAATGTACCAGTAATAGTAGAGAGTAATCTCTCGTGTAAGAACGAATAAAATATTGCAAAAGTAATTTATTGAAGAATTCTCCACGAAGGATTGCTTCTCATAATCGCGTAATGACGTTGAAAAGATTAATCTCAAAGATTATCAAGTATGATCTTCAAATAATGTGAAAGATAATCGACACATTTACAGATCTCATATGCGCATCTCCGAAATGAGGAGTGTCATGACGATTCAAGTCATAATGACAGCTCGAAGATAACTCCACCTCTTATCTTCGTGACGGATATAGGTATGTGGGATCTCGCCGGGGATCGTTTCCAGATAATGGAGACGTGATACCGGAGATTGTTGTTAGATAATAGAAATGTGACGCCGGGGTGGTTAACTCGCCACTGCCCGGACAACTACCGTCCTCCACCGCCACCCGGTCTATTGATCGCCCCCGAACGACCAAGAAGACGCGAGACCAGCTGCGCCACTCGCGCCGGCGAACCTTCACGAGAAGGCGAGACCAAAAACGGCGTCGCGACACCGGCGTGCGAGTCTGTCGGAGTCACTTTAATCCTTTCGAGATATTCGTCATCTATAATTCGACAGCGAGATATCTTGAAAATATCTTGTACCTTTTGACACCTGTTCTGAGTCTAAAATTCCCCGAAGGATAAGTTACATCATACAGAAAAATATCATTCTATTGTTAAGAAAATGATTACTCAATTCACTTTTAAGTAATGATTATTTTTAATAAAGAATTTGATAATAAATACTAAAATATACTTATTACAAATTCTTAAAATACTCATTATATATTCAAAACAAGAATTTATTTTCTTTTAAAGAATGTTATAAGACTGATCGAAGAAACGATTTTATGTAATAAGCAATTTGTTTTAATTTAATAATCTTAATTGAAGGATTATATAAATTTATTATAGGATTCAGAATGTATATTTTGAATAAATTTGATGTTTGTGATGAACTTTTATAATAAATTTGCGGAATATGAATTTTTTAAATATTTGAAAGCAATTACTTACGTAAGTATGAATTTTTCTATACATCTTTTAAAATCTCAAAATTGTAAAGAGCCGTTGTTTCCCAATTCTTTTATAAGCTTAAATTTAATAGACTAAAACGATTTATAAAACACGTGGAAAAATAGAACCTCGCTGGAAGACAAAATAATGTAAGAGAAACAATTTTAACAAAGCGACTCTTTGGAAACTTTTTTATTTAAACTTTTATACAGCGATTTCATAATTATTTCCGTAATAAATAAATAAATGTCATCGAATCGTAATAAACGAGCTACAATCACTTTATGCAATCGAGAGTCTTGTTCCAATTAAAATTTAATATTTCACATGTAATATTCCTTTTTCTCTCTCTCTGTCTCTCTCTCTCTCTCTCTCTCTCTCTCTCTCTCTCTCTCTCTCTCTCTC